TAAGGGAATAAATTCTCATTCATATATATGCAATATATCACTAGCTCAGAGCATGAACTATGACAAATTGGGAGACTCTTATAAACAGGGACGTTTGGAAAATGTTCTCTTAGACGTCTCGTATACTAGAACAAGTGTTGGGAGCAAACGGGTCAAAGAAACTATGCATAGTTTTGTGGCCTCATCGCTTCACCAAAATCCAGCCATCAGATTGAGCAAATTCTCATTTTACCGTTACTTTCAGGACTTACTTCAAAGTTTCTCACTTCTTTAATTACTGCTTCCATTTAACTTATTGTTTCATTCTTACTTGCTGTCTGACTGCTTTAAACCTACTTTTAAACCTTGCGAAATAGTACCGGCCCTCTTTAAACTGTTAAATATTCATAATGACAGTAGTGGCAGTTCAAACCATTATTCCTGTCAGTAAAAACATTTAATTATTATCTGCAAAGGTTGTCATTTCACTTGCACTGTCAGTGCTTACGTTGCTTAATATAAAATTTCTATCTCTTTGGATCATAAGATGTTTTACTGATATCCCATATCAGAAGTATGCCAATAATCTATAAAATTTGATGCTTTTTAAATGGCCGAGCCTAACCGCTTATCTTTATCACTAAATCGGATCATATCCACATAACAAACTTGTCCCGAAGGATTTTCACCTGCGTACTGAAAATGACTGATTTGTCAATGATAATGATAGACACAAACATATAGATGTCAAACCGCCTTTTTCGGTACATAGTCAAAGATCAAAAGTACAGATAAGGCTAGGAGTTCAACTGGTTTTGGTCAAGATGCGACTAAAGTCAGAAATGATCATATGACTGGGGTAGAGGTAAGGCATAGCTGAAGAAGATATTTTTTGAGTCAACATAACCCATCGATCTGAAGAAAGCTTGAGCCAGTAAGGAGTTTTGTCATATACTCCTTCGATCAAAATGGCCCTCAAGTCGAGATAAGGCTTAAGAGGGGCAGCTACTGATTCGAAACTATTTGCGTTTTTCTCAGAGCGAATTATTGAATCATTCAGAAAAAATGAAATTCTATTCCATCAATAGGCGTCTTGACGAATTTGTATATTTTTCATGTCAAGCACGGGCGATGATTCAAGTTGTTCTCGACCGGAATGTTATTTTCCTAGACAAACTTGAGGGGATTTACCCTTTGGTGTGATATATTATGGCAAAAGAATAATGTCAGTCTCTTTTCAGATAAGTGAGGGAACAGGCACATGTTGAGGCAGTGCTTTTACCCATAATTTTTTCTGTTCAAGTCGTGAGTGATATGTTCTACTCTTTCACTGATATCGTCCATCAAACCCAGTCTGAATTTTCCGTCTTCTTGCGCGCTAGTCGTTATTCTCTGCTCAGAGGGTCGACGCGATACAGCGAGAGATTTGTAAGTTTCTGACTGACGACTGATACGGACGGTGGTGCTCTCTCTTTGGTATCTATCATATGCGGAAATTAGTCCACAAACTTATTAAGAGGTTCTCCGATTAACGGAGCTTCATGGACTCCCTCAGAACTGCATGGTGTACAGTAAGGGATCACCTTTGAGTTCATGACTGATCCTCGCCAAAACTGAGTCTACGAAGATCAATTTTTTGCAGATTTGCGGGTGTATAGTAAATAACTGTTAAACAGAACAGTACTTATATCGTTGTTTGAATGATTCATGGTTCAGGGCACCAAACACTGCTGATGGTAAAACCGTTTAATGCCAACTTGTTTTACTGCACAGGCCGTAGCATCATCAGGGCTGGACTGAGTACAACTGACTGTTTGAACGTATTTAAGTCCAACAAGCGAACAGTGCCAATTTTTCAATTGGCTTATCACTCACAGTAAAAGACGTTGTTACCCTGTCTGAACAAAGTCTAATTCTTCATATTAAAATCAATCGCATCTTTGTCATTTCGAACCGATTTAGCGCATAAATTTTGTAACTGTGCCTCAAGTTTCACTGATGACGACAGAAGATATGTATTCGTTGCACACCCGAGTTTTCACCACCAGTTTTCGCAAGGGCTCCTTTATCAGCCTGCCATGATCACATGGCAATACCGGAATCGTCCGTGGCGGCCCGCAGAAAGGTGCTCTTTAAAACAGATGTTCAATTTCCGGATTGTCTTTCCAGCGTATACCTTACCACAGTCTTCGCATTTGACCTTTCGTACCGCAGTGAACCCCTGCTCCAGTGAGTGGGAATGTACTTCTTGTACCAAATGTCGCACGATGTTCTGCCGATCTTGTGATACACCCTAAATCTCATATCATTAAGCAACGCTGAAATACCAGGGGTATGAACCGTAGGCGCATTACCACCGGTACACATGAACTGGCCAACTATAAATTTGAACTGGGATGCAAAAGTTCTTCGTCAAGGAACCTCCTTCGGCAAAAACGTTTAGAGAAGATGTTCCGTCTTTGCGTTTAAACCCAGTCTAGATGGTAGTGTAGGTCTTGGGCTTGAAAACGCTGTTTTTGCTACTTTCCAAAGTAATTCAAGGGACACATGATTATGGGTGTAAGTATCGCCCCTTACTCAGTCCAGCCCTAATGAAGTTGTAGTCTTTGCAGCGAAACGCGTAGACCATCTGTTGTATTTGGTGCCCTGCAGCGTGAACCACTGAAACA